TGAAGGAATAACATAGTTTAATATGAAAAAAATGGTGGAGTATCCCTTTAAGATAGTTTCAGTTTTTCATATTTTCTGAAAGCAACCATGCATGATGTGACACAGTCAGACTCATAACCAATCAGACCAATTTTAAACCAGTGAGATTTCACTGTGGGCGGAGCTACCCTGCATGATGCAGAACAAACACAAACCAAGCAGAGATAGCATGTATGATATGCCGCCTCTGGTTAGGACACAATTTTGAGCTTCAAACATGTCAGATTGTCCATTCGTGTGTTTTCACACTGCATGTGTTTTTGTGTAATGCAGCTGGTGTCCATCTGAAGAGCCTTAGCACTCTGTTAACACAGTAAAATAAGATGTCTGATATGTCCAGTATGCAGTGTATAAGTAGTTTCTGTACTAACTATTGTCTGCTATCATGTTCTTGCTGCTACTGTAATGAATCATTAGGAATTTTATCATGTAAAAATACATCAGAGACCTTGAGTGAATTAAGTTTCAATCAGGAATCTGATGAAATGTCCAGTAGTGTCTTCTGTCTAGTCTTCTTACCCTGCAGGGCGATGAATTAAATGTCTAGTTGATTATGTAAATGTGTGGCGTACAGTAATTTAGCCTTAGGGAGTATGTTGTATACTTGAGGTAGTGTATATATATATATATATGAATCATAAACATACAGAATGTATGCAATAAATCCATTTGAATACTATTTGTGTCTGATCTCCTCGATTTGTCATTACAGCAACATGTCCAAAATATTCTTATGGGATATACAGTCTAAGATTAACTACTTAAATTTCTTCAGGTGACAATTGTAGAGAAAGATTTAGAAATGTACATGAATTTGTTAGATGTTCACATGCACTTGTCACTAATTTGAATACGAAAAATATGAATAACTGATTATGCTGTAGTCAATGTAATGTTTTTTTTCCTGTCAACTTTGTTATATAGATTTTGTGCATGTAGTTACTGTGTAGTACTAACTATAAATTATGCATAATTACAGTATATGCAATTAACCCTAAAACAAACCCCAATCCTAACCCTAACCCTATAGTAAGTGCATGTAGTTCATTATTATTACTCAGTACTTCAATGAATGATTACACTGTACGGCCACCTTAGAATAAAGTGTATGCACTTTTTATTTTTGCCCAGTGAAATAAACCTGTAGCTGTAGTTTGCCTTTTTTTTTGCCAAATCATTTTATCAGATAAATATCTTAACCAAGTTTAGTGTTGTCACATCTGGATTGTGTTTAAGTTGGGGGTTGAATTTATTTTGCATTATATTTTGTTTCCAGCTCTTTTGCCTGTAAGTGTTTTGTATATTGAGCCTGTTTTCTGTTAGTCTTTGTTCGCTCTTCATCGCATTAAGTTGGTTGTTCTGTTCAAGTGTTTTGACATTCAAATTTCCAGGGAAATTTTGTGTTATTTTGAGTTTGTAAAATAAAAACTTTCCTTCAATGAGAGATAGCTTTATTTGGTAACACTTTACAATACGGGTGCACTAATATATCCATTAACTCATGCTTAACTAATGCACAGTTAATGTATGACTCATGAAGAACTAAACCATTAATTAATGATTACTGCATCAGCAACTAATAAAGAGTCTATATGAAGAGTTCAGATGCAAAAGCCTCTAAGTGCCATTTGAAATTTTCTTCTAGAATGATCATTTTTATCAAGCTTGTATATTTAAGTTCAGTGATTTCACTTAAATGGCAATGATAATTACCTATTAATTGTTCTTTAAGTGAAATTACTGAACTTAAATATACAAGCTTGATAAAAATCATCATTAAAGAAGAAAATTTCAAATGGCATTTAGAGGCTTTTGCATCTGAACTCTTCATATGATTAATAGATTAAGTAATAGATGAATTGCTATTAATTCAATGTGTATTAATTCCTTAATAACATATTTTATTAACTAATAGTGTAAATTAATGTATTAATTACCACAATTAGTCAAATCTATGCACTTCAACTTCCAGTTGTCTGCTTTAATTAATCATTAGCTAATGATTTGCAAATGTATCATTATGTTATGACTTTACTTGTTGGGGCACATCATTATTAACTAGTCATTTAGTAGTTGTAGTAATTTGCACATGAATTTGCACTAACAATGAAGTAATTAATCATGTATTAATGCATATTTGTGTACCTGTCATATTATCTGTAGGTTGAAATACAAGGCTTTGGCTCATTCTGGTAATTAACATATTAATTAACACTATTAGTTAAAAAATTAGTTATTATGGATTTAATCCACAATTACATATTTAATTAAAAACAATTCATACATTAACCTTACAGACTCTTAATTAGTTCCTAATGTGGTAATCAAATAATGAATAGCTTAGATAATCATTAGTTACACATTAATTCAGTATTATCTGTGCATTAGTTAAGCGCTTATTAGTGCACCCGTATTGTAAAGTTTTACCCTTTTTTTTATCTCCTCGTCATCTGGCTGTAACAGAAAGACCGAACCTCAAACATGGATCTAGCAGAAAGTTTAATCCTCTTGCCCATGACGGACTCCCTTTTTTGCAATACTCTGTCCACCTCTGTTTGTTGGCCCAGCACAACGGTCTAGATGATACCACCATAAAATGTATATATTAGAAGCAAATGATTGTGGCTTGCTGGATTTGACTGAGATGGAGAATATATTACATTGCCTGAATTAAGTGTGTATGTTAATGGTGTCTTCACCCACAAACCTCACTGACCCAGAACCAGAACCCAGCCAACACCTCCACATGCCCACTCCAAACCCAGAGCCAGTGCCAAAGCCCACTATAGGAGCCAAAGCCAGAGCCAATGCCAGCTGAGTCTGACAAAGTATGTGAGCCAGCCTCAATGTCCACACAGGATCTCGAGCCTGAGCAATGGTTCATCCCGGAGCCAGATTTTGCACTCCCTAAAGTATAAGGACAATGAACCAGAGCCCACCACAGACCAAGAACCCGAACCTGACAAGTGTGATCAGGTGTGGTTGCCTTGTCTATTGCTGAAGGTGAGTTGAAGTGTTTATTTTGGAACCGAGTACCAACCATTATCCTGGCCCTGAAGAGCAATCTCTTGGATTCCCTGATCCCAGCCTACTTTAAAGGAGAACTCCGGCGCAAAATGAACCTTTGGTCTTATAAAACATCGGTACCTTGTCAACCGTTCTTTGAGATTTGTTTTCATGATAATCGAATGTAAAGAGTTTAATATCTAAAAACTGTTTAACGTATAACGCTAGTATGTAAAAAGGAATCGCTAGAAATCGCTAATATACCTAATTCTGTCTGTAATGTTAATTAAAGCACAATAGACAAAAAGAGTACACTGGTCCACTTAAACTGTTATACACAGTAGGTATACACACACACACACACACACACAGGGTTTTTCCTGGGTCAAAAATTGTCTTTGTGGGGGCCGACAGATACTGTCAGCCACTGACACCTTTCTTGCCCTCTTTTTTTTTTTAAGTCAAGTCAAGTCACATTTATTTATATAGCGCTTTTCACAATACAGATTGTATCAAAGCAGCTTCACAGTGATAACATGTAAGTAGCACAACACAGATCAACAACATTGCTAAACACTAAATAAATAACCCCAACTGAGCAAGCTCAAAGCAAGCCAAAAGCAAGGCGACAGTGGCAAGGAACCAAACTCCATCAGATTGGATGGAGAAAAAACCTTGGGAGAACCCAGGCTCAGTCGGGGGCCAGTTCTCCTCTGGCTTACATTCATATTGTTTAAATATAAATATTGTTTATGAATCAAACGGCGCCATAACATATCGCAGGCGTTGAGTCGTCTCATCACAGGCGTTGAGTCGTCTCATCACAGGCGTTGGGGCATCCGAAATCCCCGTGAGAGGCTGGACACAAAACTGGACCTGACGAACGCCATTTTTCTCGGGACAAGTGTCCCGAGATAACAGCAGAAAGGCAGATGGGAAATAATTAGCATAGCTGATGTTCATAATAATTTCCGTTATAACTCACAAACTCTCCGTAACCCGAACTCTCCGCAACCCAACCATACGCGCCGACCCGTTTGTCTAAAAGGCTGTCGAGCCCCACTGGTGCGTTAAGCAGTTTCAGTGGCAAACGGTTCCGTATGGCATAACAGAGGACTAGAAGGTAAGCATTATGTGAATGCTTGACTAAAGAGATGCGTCTTTAATCTAGTTTTGAACTGTGTCAGCGAGTCAGAGGCTCGGACCGTATCGGGAAGGCCATTCCAGAGTTTTGGAGCTAAATGCGAGAACGCCCTCCCTCCTTTACTGGACTTCGATATCCTAGGAATGACCAGAAGCCTTGAATTTAGTGATCTTAAGGAACGCGGTGGATTGTAGGGCGAAAGAAGGTCCGTTAAGTACATAGGTGCTAAACCATTTAGGGCTTTATAGGTCAGTAGTAGTATTTTGTAGTTGATGCGGAACTTAATAGGTAACCAGTGTAGAGATGATAAAATCGGTGTTATATGATCATATTTTCTTGACCTAGTAAGAACTCTAGCAGCTGCATTTTGTACTAACTGTAGCTTGTTTATTGAGGATGCAGGACAACCAGCTAATAAAGCATTACAGTAATCTAGTCTCGAGGTCATGAATGCGTGAACTAATTTTTCTGCATCAGAAATAGATAGCATGTTACGTAGCTTAGCAATGTTTCTAAGGTGGAAAAAGGCTGTTCTTGTAACATATGAAATATGATTTTCGAACGACAAGTTGCGGTCTAGTATAACACCCAGGTCTTTTACTGTTGTGGATAAAGTAACAGGACATCCGTCTATATTAAAGTTGTATTGTGAGAGGTTTTGTGAGTAGTTTTTTGGACCAATAAGTAATACCTCCGTTTTATCTGAATTTAATAGCAGGAAATTACGCGTCATCCAGCATTTTATATCTTTGAGACACTCTGTCATTTTAGATGAGTTAGTGTTTTCATCTGGTCGTGATGAAATATATAATTGAGTGTCGTCAGCGTAACAGTGGAAATTAATTCCATGTTTTCTTATAATATTACCAAGTGGCAGCATATATTTTACCACTGGATTTCATAGCTTTGTAAGATACAATCCTTCTTTGCTAGACCTGATAATTATTTTGGTAAATAATCATATACATATTATAAAGTAGAATATAAAAGTACTGTAGCATTGAAAAGTTTATTTTAACTATTAATTTTCAATTTTCATATACAATTGATTGAAATTAGCAGCTAGCTAACAACTTGCTTTCCCCTTTTTTATGGTTTCACCCTACTTCAGTCTAAACTAAATACATTTTAGGTCATTTTTCTACACATTGTCATATAAATAACCTACAAAATACTGTAGCTAAATCTTGATAACCACTCTTGCTAAATAGGGTAAGAAAACTTACAGACTCATTTAAACTCATTAATGATTTATAAATGAAATAAAAGATTGATTTATAAAAGTAAATGATTTGTTAGTAACACTTTACAATATGGTTTGATTTGTTAACAATAGTTAATTTATTACAGATTCAGATTCATTTTTAATGGACCATTGTGGAAAAGAGGGCTAAAGATGGAAATGTATTGGTCATTTTTGCCATGACATTATTCAATCATTTTTTACGGAAATTTATGCTACCCTAAAACACAACACAATGCCTCAGTAAATGAGAAAACGGTAAGAAATATTTTATTTATTATAATAAATGCCCAATTTCTATGGACTGTAAATAAAAAAAAGAGTTGTTAGAAGCCTGTATTTCCACATGTGCCACATATTTTATTAGGTTTTTCCTTTTAAATGTGTATTTAAATCTGTGATCACTTGTGTTTCAACTCATGTTGTTTATTTGATTCGTTGTCCTTGTGGTCTACTCTAGGATATGTGGGAAAAACATCATGTCAGTTGAAGCAAAGAATTAGTGAATATAAAAGTTTGATTAGAAGAAAAGATACAAATTATCCAGTTGCGGCTTATTTTTTTTACCTTTTTTTCATGATGTTTCCTCTTTACGGTTTTGTGGGATTGCAAAAGTGAGTATGCCACCTGGAGGTGCCAATGTTGAATTGCTACTGCAGAGACATGAACTCTTTTGGATTTTCACTCTCCAGACTTTATCCGCTCGAGGAATGAATGATGAAGCATTGTTTAATGTGATGCTATACATTATATTGCTTATACTTTTCTCTTTTTCTTTTTTTTTTTTGCTGTTGTCTTCAATGATTGTTGTGATGATATCCAATGATGTTGATAATGTGGTGATGAGTGGGATAATTATGTATTATCTACTAGATTAGTCGAAGTGGTTATAGGTAGTCAGTTTAGTGGTCATGTGCTTGGTCTTAATTTTATTTATTAGTTTAGTATCATTAGTTTTTTGTGTGTCAAAACTTAAAATAAGTAATCACCTGAAAAACTCTCGATGACGTGATCCTCCATAAACTTCCGCCATCTCACCAACAAATTCAATGTTTGGTATTTTGCCATTCAAAGTAGGATTTATGAAGTGCAACACAAGCACTATTTAATACTCTTCTTCGGCGGGCCACAACAGTGACATGGGTGGTCAGGTCTAAATTGAATTCCTCCAAAACATCCACAAGGTATTTTTGCAACTGTAGAAATAGAAAGGATAAAATAAGAAAAAAAGTTTTGCTTTATTCAAGACATTCTTTAAGGTATGAGATACATGTACATCAGGACTGTATGGTCTTGGAGGTGAAGCCAGCATGTCATTCTTTAAATCCACAGAATCAGTGTCAGTCTCCCTGTAATACATTCACAGCAAAACGTCTCGGTTACGTATGTAACCCTCGTTCCCTGAGTAGGGAACGGAGACGTTACGTCAGAAGTGACGGAGATTGGGGGGTTTCGCATAGAAAGCCAATCCTCTTCGAGTATTTAAACACGAGCCAATGGCATGCAATGCCTTGGGGCTGCGGAATTTTGCATAGCGTACTCCGCCCTACTCCGTGAGTATAAAAGGAGGAAGTGAACGCAACCGCAGTATGTCTTCGCTGAGGAGCCAAGACTGAACTCGGCGTCTACCCAGCGATACAGCAGAAGTGGCAGGGAGACGTAACGTCTCCGTTCCCTACTCAGGGAACGAGGGTTACATACGTAACCGAGACGTTCCCTTTCGTAGTCACTTCGAGTTACGTCAGAAGTGACGGAGATTGGGGGTCAGTGCCATCACGCCATCTTCAAGCTGTCTTCCAGTGCCCTGCGAAAGTCTGAACCCCCGAGCCTTACCTCTTTTTTTTTTTTTTTTTTTTTTTTTTTGGGGATCCGACTTTGACACAGGATTACCAAGGTACACTGGGAAACATATCCCGGAAGGGACATGCTACTAGCTGCCTACCGAAGGGAGGACTTACGAACACATATGGCCACATAGGAACACATATGGAACACTGGAGTACCAACCGCAGGTGGCTACTAATTTCAACTCCAGGGGTGGCAGATGGCTTGCCAAGGGAAGACACATGCTCAGAGAGGCTTACAGTGGATAATACACATGAGACGGTTACCAAGGGGAACCGTGCGCATGGAGGCACCTAGCCAGCATCCAGAGCAACAGCAGTGGTGCCCGCATCGTCGGTGCTGGAGGACTCAAGACTTCAATGGAAGAACTGAGGAAATATCGCACTTATCCAGTCCGGGGAGTGGAGTGGCGAGCAAGCGAAGACACCTGAGCGGATCCAGAACTGGCCGAAACGAGTACGTGAGAGGATACCGGCTCAATTCGCAGATTATAGAATCTGGCGAAGGTGTTGGGTGTCGCCCAGCCTGCAGCTCTGCAGATGTCTGTTAGCGAGGCGCCGTGCGCTAAAGCCCAAGAGGAGGCTACACTCCGAGTGGAATGGGCCGTCACACCAAGGGGGCACGGAAGGCCTTGCTGCTGGTAAGACAAAGCAATGGCATCCACTATCCAGTGGGACAGCCGTTGCTTTGAGAGAGCCCTTCCCTTCTGGCTCCCCCCATGACAGACAAAGAGCTGGTCTGAGGTCCTGAAACACTGCGTTCTGTCGACATAGGTGCGGAGAGCACGTACCGGACAGAGCAGTGCCAAGGCTGGGTCTGCCTCCTCCAGGGGCAGCGCTTGCAGGTTCACCACCAGGTCCCGGAGGGGAGTGGTAGGAACCTTGGGCATATATCCAGGCCGGGGTCTCAGGAATACGTGAGAGTAAGCCGGCCCGAACTCCAGGCACACTTCGTCAACAGAGAGTGCGTGCAGGTCCCTTACTCTCCTGATGGATACCAATGCAATCAGGAGTGCTGTCACATAGGACAGGGCAAAAACTCTACCGACTGCAAAGGCTCCAGGGGAGGCCTCTGCAGAGCACCCAGGTCTACTGAGAGGTCCCCAGAGGGCAGGAGGGGAGGGAGGCGGATTTAGCCCCCTCACTCCCCTCAGGAACCTGATGACCAGGTCATGCTTCCCATAGACTTACCTTTCACTGCATCATGAGACGCGGCAATGGCCGCGACATAAATCCAAAGGGTGGAGGGCGACAGCCTGCGCTCCAACCCCTCTTGCAGGAAGGAAGCATGACTCCGATCGAACATCTCCGGGGGTCTTCTCAGCGAGAAGAACACCAATTGACGAAGAGGTTTCACTTCAACGCATAAAGGTGTCACGTGGACGACGCTCTTGCGGAAGTGATGGTTGCCGCCACCGCAGGTGGCAGCGAACTCAAACCTGCCTCGTCCCGTCCTGGAGCCACACGTGCAGCCTCCAAGATCGGGACGAGGGTGCCACAGAGTGCCCCGTCTCTGAGAGAGTAGGTCCGGTCTCAGAGGAATAGGCCAAGGAGGTGCTGTCGCGAGGAGCAAGAGTTCGGAGAACCACGTCTTCGTGGGCCAGTAGGGGGCTACCAGCAAGACCTGCTCCTCGTCCTCCTTGATCTTGCACAACACCCGTGCAAGGAGGCTCACTGGGGGAACGCACACTTGCGTGGGCCCCGTGGCCAGCTGTGCGCCAGCGCATCCGAGCCGAGAGAGCCGCGGGTCAGAGAATAAACTGGGCGCAGTGGGACGAGTCCCGAGAGGCGAACAGGTCTAACTGTGCCTCCCCGAACTGGTCCCAAATCAGCTGGACCGACTGGGGATGGAGTCGCCATTCGCCGGAGATGGGACGGGCCCGGGACAGCTCGTCGGCTGCCCGGTTCCGGTCTCCAGGAATGTAACTGCACGAAGGGACCTCAGGTGCTTCTGACTCCATATCAAGAGGTGGCGGGCGAGCTGCGACAACCGGCGCGAGCGTAGACCCCCCCTGGTGGTTGATGTACGCTACTGCCGTAGTGTTGTCTGAGCGGACAAGCACATGCTGGCCCTAGAGCACGCTCGGAAGCGGTGCCGGGCGAGCCGTACTGCCAACAGCTCGAGGCAATTGATGTGCATGAGGCGCTGGGCTCCTGTCCAGGAACCGGCGGCTGCATGCCCATTGCACATGGCACCCCAACCCGTGGTAGACGCATCCGTGGAGACAACGAGATGCCTGGAAACTCGCTGAATAGGGACCCTGTCCGTAAAAAGCTGAGGTTCGACCACGGGAAGAAGGATCGGCGGCACGTCGGAGTCACTGGAACTCGGAGCGAGCCGCGATGCCATGCCCACCTCGGGACTCGATCGCGAAGCCACAGCTGAAGCGGTCTCATATGAAGCAAACCGAGCGGCGTTGCCGCGGCCGCGGATGCCATATGCCCCAGGAGCCTCTGAAATAGTTTCAGTGGAACCGCACTCTTGCCCTCGAACTGTCGAAGACAAGCCAGCAGTGAGTGCGCGCGCTCGTTCGTGAGCTGCGCGGACATGGCGACCGAGTCTATCTCCATGCCGAGAAAAGAGATCCTCTGCACGGGGCAAAGTTTGCTCTTTTCCCGGTTGACCCGAAGGCCCAGACGGGCTAGGTGCCGTAGCACCAGGTCTCTGTGTTCGCAAACCTGAGCTCGAGAGTGTGCTAGTAACAGCCAGTCGTCGAGATAGTTCAGGATGCGAACCCCGTGTTCGCGAAGGGGAACAAGGGCTGCCTCGACGATCTTCGTGAAGACGCGAGGGGACAGAGCTAACCCGAATGGGAGAACGGCGTACTGGTATGCCTGGCCCTCGAAGGCAAACCGAAGAAACGGTCTGTGTCGAGGGAGAATGGAGACATGGAAGTACGCGTCCTTCAGGTCGATCGCTGCAAACCAATCCTGATACCGAACACATTCGGAAATGCGTTTGGCCGTGAGCATTTTGAACGGTAGTCGATGGAGAGAACGGTTCAAAATACGCAGGTCCAGGATCGGTCGTAACCCACCGGTCTTTCTTGGGGACAATGAAGTAGGGGCTGTAAAGCCCGGACCTCACCTCGGCTGGAGGGACCGTCTCGATTGCACCCTTCGCCAGCAGGGTCGCAATCTCCGCTCTCAAGACTGGGGCATAGCCACCAACCATCGTGGAGCGAACTCCCCTGAAGCGGGGAAGAGACCGTGCGAACTGAATCGCGTAGCCGAATCCGATCGTTCTGATGACCCAGCGGGAACCCCGGGAAGCGCTAGCCAGGCTTCCAGGAAGTGAGCCAACGGGGTCATGCGAACCACAGACGTCCCCCCGGAGGGGCAGCGAGGCGGGTCGACCGGCATGCGTGCAGGAGTTACCCCGTCCGGATGCACCGTCGAAACCCGCTCCCCGACAGAAGAGACCAGGGAAGGCAGAGCGTTCCACGGGGGTCTGTTCTGCCGGGGGTCTGGCGACAGAGGGGGAAGGGATTGGCGTAGCCCGGGGACGACACACGCACCCTTCCGCGCCCTCCGAGACAGAGAGGAATGAACGGGGCGACGCACTGGACGTCGTGCGCGCTCATTCCAGTCTGTGTGCTCAATGACAGTGTCAGCTTTTCCTCAACCAGCTCAGGGAGCTAGCTAGAACAAAAGATTCTCCACCGGCCCTCCACCGGGGAAGGAGGGGCCCTGCCACCGCCTCCTGAGAAAAACCATGACACTATCACTGAGCGGCCCGCCTCAGGAACATCGCTTCGCCTGGCGTCTAGCGGGGCACGCGGCCTGAGGGGGGGCTCTTTTCTTGGGACGCTTACCTGTGGCCTCCTCCGCGACGCGAACCGGCTGAAGGCTGCTGCTGGGGCCGCGTGGGAGGGAAGGGAGCCGCAGGGGGGCGTCCTCGGCGGCGAGCTGGCGGAGGCGTCCGAGCCGACGGCTGGTTGGAGGCAGCAGCTGGCCGTCGGGGCAGAGAAACCGCCTTCGTCTGCTCCTAGGCGGTCGAGAAGTGCTGGGCAAAGTCCTGGACCGCACCGCCGAACATTATGATGCTCCTGGACCACAGCGGTGGGCATCACCTGACCAAGGGAGCGAGCGACCGCCTCCGTGACCCGTTTAAGGACAAGGTAGGCGACAGGCTCGCAGCTCGCTTGGTCCGTCACCTCCTCGTGCACATTCCTGAGCAGCTAGCTTTGTAGGTGCTCATCATATGCAGGGCGGAGGCTGCCTGTCCCGCCGCTCTACAGAATCGCGCCGCCATAGACGACGAGAACCCATAGGCTTTGGAGGGGCATCTGAGAGCAACCGCCGGTTGACCGGGGGAGCCCCAGCGTACCCACAGACAGCCGCATCGCCGAGGGGAGGAAGGGCGGGGAACTAAGCACGCTTTTTTATTTTTTTATTTTTTTTTTATTTATTTATTTTTTAGTGCGTGTCAGTTCCGCATGCAACTCGGGGAAAAAAGGAAATTGGGGTTGGCCGTGGCCGTAAGGCGGCAGCGTTACCCAAAAACCAATTATTCAGCCGCGAGAGATCGGGATGGGGCGGAGTTCCACCCCCACCCGATGCTCACGGACGCCCGAGATAGCACGGCCATCATCGCGGGATCAGACACGGCGGCGCTGACGCTCCCGAGGGAGGCAACGCGGCCGCATCCTCACTTCCCGAGGAGTCAAGCCCGCCTAGTGATGCTGTGATCGACATCGCATCATCATCTGGAGCGCTGCCCGAAGCAGCCGGTGCCACCGAAGAAGCAACCGACTGAATCGAACTAACGCTCGCTGGCTCTCGCACTGAGGCGGGAGGTGTGGCCCGAGGAATCGTCGGGGCTTTATCCCACACCATCACCGTAAAATCACCAGGTCCCCGGGTCGACGGGCCCCCTATGGAGGAAACCGATCGAGCGGGGGGGACCGGGACTCTCACTCAAGTGAGATCATTGAGTCTCGACCTCAGTGTAGAGATGGTCATGTTCCCACAGAAGGAAAATGAGTCATCCACGAACGCTGCTGCTGCATGCTGAAATGCCCAGGCATACAAAGCAGCGATCGTGACCATCAGATGACGACAGAAATCAATCACACCCAGAAGAGCACGGGCGAACCGTCTTTAAAAAGACGTGCGCGTGCAGCTCTTTCAATGAGAGGAGGAAATTCACTCTTTCAGCGCTGAAGCGACCAGGGAGAAGCGCAAAGTCTGGCAGACCACTGCTCAGATCGCAGGCGATGCAGAATCTCGCTGGGTACCGCCGTCACACCAACACTGAAGAGGACGCTCGTCTCGAAGAGTCTTGAACAGTGCTTTCAGGAGTGAAGAGGTTCTCTTGGCTCCGAAGCGAAAACATACTGCGGTTGCGTTCACTTCCTCCTTTTATACTCACGGAGTAGGGCGGAGTACGCTATGCAAAATTCCGCAGCCCCAAGGCATTGCATGCCATTGGCTCGTGTTTAAATACTCGAAGAGGATTGGCTTTCTATGCGAAACCCCCCAATCTCCGTCACTTCTGACGTAACTCGAAGTGACTACGAATAGGAACAAGTGTTAAATGAACACCCTTAGAGCATAAATGGGTCTTACCCACAGGTGTTAAAAACCAGGAACAGGATTCCACAGTGTATATTCAATACAGGTGATTTTGCTTTCCAAAACAAATGACAAAAGCAGACTGATTAAAAAGTGTTTTCATACAGCTTAAGATAATTAATAATTTTAAGCAATTAAGCAACAAACTGCCTTGTCTTCGCTGATGATGTGGCAAAACAAAAGGTTTTTGTTATTTCTGATCTGACAGATAAAATCATAATCTCATATTTTACACTAACATCAGACGGGCTTTGAGGTGAAGACATGTTATGTCCTGTTGTGGACATTGAGGGGCTTGACACATATGTATGGGTTTACCCAGCTGGGTTTGGGGAAAATCGGTGGAGATGATTCAGTTGCCTCTGGATTTGAATGTAAGCTGAAGTGGTTTGGCTTGGAATGTCCTAGCCAGGGGCGTAGCATCAAATCCTGGGCTCTAAGCATAGGCAGTCCTGATGGACCCCCATTTTTTAGACCTTTTGCCTCAGACTTTGCATCTGTCTAATACACATTGTAGTGCTACCAGAATAGAGGGTTGGTGAGTTGCCACGACTCGTACTGCAGCCCATCGAGTACCCCATCGAGGGTCAGAGAGACGATGAAGTGAGATTGTCCATCGCTCTGGACTAGCGCTAAAGAAATTGTATAGGCGATTAACACTGCCAAACATTGTTGAGGCCTCAGGGCATAACTGAGCTTCGTGTACACCCACCAAATTGAGGGTATGGGAATCACAGGGGTGTACGTAGCAAGCGGGTTTTGTTTTAAAATCTTTCACTTTCACTTTCCCTGACATGTTGGCTCCATTGTCAAAACCCTGTCCCCTACAGTCCTCTAATGGTATGTCCCTATCTTGCAATACTGCCTGAATTTTTTCAGAGATTTCCCTGCCTGTCTTTTCATGAAAGTTTTTAAATAGACAGAATCTCTCGATTCTCTTCCATTCATCACTTGTCTGGTGTTGAGTCACATACAGTATCGCTGAGAAGTAATTTGAAGCTTCTCCTTCTGCCAGGATAGTGTTCAACACTCTTTTGCCACAGAGTGTGTTAACCTTGACCCCTCTTTCTTCCCTTCCCTTACTTTTTCCAAGTATTTGTGTAAAATGGTATCATAATATGCCAACAACTCTAAAGTGCCAAGAACATGCCTATCGTGGACATCATCTAAATTTGAATTTTTGCCTCTGAATGCAAGGTTTCATGAAGCCAAATGTAAGGTCACATGCAAAAGCCTCTCTAGAATCAGTCTATTCTTCTCTATTTCTGCCAGTAGTTGTCTTTGAAGGTGACCATCAACTCCAGTTGCTGCCAGTAATGGGGGCTGGGGGCACACTGCTTATGAGGCATGTTTGTCTCATGGTCTGGCAATTTGTTGTACATTCTTTACCATTTAATGTGTGCTAATTTAACCCCATCCTTGCTGTTCAGAGCAAGACAGTCTCTTCTGATTTTTTTTCACGGCCATTTGTTGACTTTACAAATTCAACATAAATGGGAAATGGTTTCCCTTCCATATCTTTAGGTCACAGTCCTGGATCCTCTGACAAAAAGTGGTCTGAATTGCTCTGCCTACTTTTCAGTTCCTCATCTCTCATTTCCACACTTTGCTCAGAGCAACACTCATGCTCCCTGCTGTCTTCACTTCCACCATCATCCTCAATCATATCTTCTCTATCATCTTTCTCTACATGAAGAATACATTTGATATTATAACCTCTTATCCTAATTATCAGGCCAGCTGACAGTCTTGCCTGGGCCTGGGACAAGATAATGTTGTTAGATGGGCCCCCCTTTCCCTTGCTCTTACTCTCCTGTTTCCCTCCTCTGCTCTTCCTCTCCTGTTCCTCTCCTCTACTCTTCACCATATACTTTTACCCAAACCGAATAATAAAAATGGGTACATTTTCTATAAATTTCTTAATTTTCTTTTGACATAGCCTACTGCAGTTCTTGTTAAAACACAGTAGACAAGGAAAATCTGTGCATTTTGGGCACTTTTTGTGTAAAATCATATTTATTTTTTTGTCGATCTAAAGTGTGCTTTCACTTTTAATTAAGCATGAGCAGCGCAGCAAAAATAGACTCAGATCTGGCCCATTATCTGTTCACCAATGCCGACATTGACACATTTCAGCCAACTTATTATTTCTCATCTCCATAAATATATCTCGTAGTAAAGCTAATGCAAGGTCTAGGGGGTTCTTGACCACTATTTCAAGGACAATTAGGAAGAAAACAAATGAAAAGCTTTTATGTAACTCAAATATTAGATATTTCTTTCCACAAATATGCTTATTGTATTTATATTTTAACAATTATTCCATAATTTAATGAGGGCCCAGTTCTGCCCATGACTGTCAACTGAATTGGCATCACCTTCGGTCTCTGGCTACTTCGCAAAATTAAAATAAGAGGTCAGGGAATCTTTCCCTCAGTTTCATCTGGGGAAAAATAAAAACATATGCATTCAACACTGACTGTGAATTCAAAAGTGATTTAACAAACAGTAGTATTGTTACACGTGTTTCCTGTGTTTCCCCCATTGTTTGTGTTCAGTCCCTTCACCTGTGTAAGGTTAATTTGCACCAGCTGTGCCTTGTTCCCCTAGTCTGTTCATAGTGTATTTAGTTTGCTCTGTTCAGTTAGTCTTTGTCGTTCGTTGTATTGTCATGGTCAGTGTTGTGAACAAAGTATTCCTGTGTTCCTGAAGTTCCTAAGTTCCTGAGTATTCCTGTAATCTGAGTTTGTGGATAAACCTGTCTCCTTGTCTTCAACCTGCAATACTGTGACAAGTATATCGCTCAATATGTTTTTTTAACAGATTCATTCTGAAAATCACATTGCACATTTGCCTAACTTCTCTTTCGTCTGGACAACTTCTGTGAATCTACAGAATATTAGAGATGTTATAATGATATAATAACAACATTGTGCTTTTATGTAGGTGTGAAATATTTATAATGTAATAACATAATATAAACCACAGTCCATCTGGATTTAAAGGATTAGTTCACTTTTGAAAAAACTTTTGCTGATAATTTACTCACCCCCATGTCATCCAAGATGTCCATGTCTTTCTTTCCTCAGTCGAAAAGAAATTAAGGTTTTTGATGAAAACATTCCAGGATTTTTCTCCATATAATGGACTTCAATGGGAACCGGATGGTTCAAGGTCCAAAAGACAGTTAATAACAGTTTCAGATGCAGCTTCAAATGTCTTTAAACGACACCAGATGATGAATAAGGGTCTTATCATGCGAAACGATCGGTTATTTCAAAGCTTATTCCAAAAATGTAACTTTTCTAAGGACAAATGCTAGCCTTGCTATATTCTCTGAGGTGCGTTTGTAACGTCACGTAATACGTAATTACGTTCAAAAGGTCACGGGCGACGTAGCCGGAAGTACAGAATCAAAATCGTCCAACATCGTTGTTTTTCCTTTTAATTCCTTTTTTTGTAAACGGTGTTTGAGCTAGTTTGCACGTTCAACCTATGCGTTCAACTTGTAAACACTGACTCTGTACTTTCGGTTACGTCGCCCGTGACCTTTTGAACGTAATTACGTAATACGTGACGTTACAAACGCGCCTCTCAGAATAGAGCAAGGTTAGCATTTGTCCTTAGAAAAGTTACATTTTTGGAATAAGTTTTGAAATAACCGATCGTTTCGCATGATAAGACCCTTATTCATCATCTGATATCGTTTAAAGACATTTGAAGCTGCATCTGAAACAGTTATTAACTGTCTTTTGGACCTTGAACCATCCGGTTCCCATTGAAGTCCATTATATGGAGAAAAATCCTGGAATGTTTTCATCAAAAACCTAAATTTCTTTTCGACTGAGGAAAGAAAGACATGGACATCTTGGATGACATGGGGGTGAGTAAATTATGAGCAAAAGTTTTTTCAAAAGTGAACTAATCCTTTAAAAACAATTAAGCGGCCCATCTCATTTAAAAAAAAAAAACACACAGCCTACCAATATATTACAGTACACTCTAAAAAGAGATGTGTTAAAAATGACACATGTAGTTAGTGTGCTAGGGATAACACACGTTTAGAATTTAACACACGTAGTGTGTGTGTGCTCAGGGACAACACATGTAGTGTAGAATTTAACACAAGTAGTGTGTGTGCTAAGGGACAACACGTGTTAAATTCAACACGTGTGTGTGCTCAGATACAACATGTGTTGAATTTTACGCATGTAGTGGGTTTGCTCAGGGACAACACATGTAGTGTAAAATTTAACACAAGTAGTGTGTGAGCTCAGGGACAACACATGTGGTGTAGAATTGAACACAAGAAGTGTGTGTGCTCAGGGTGTCACGGTGTGGTGCAGGCAGAAGAACAGGCAGAGTCCAAAAGCTCCAATACAAAGGTTCACTCACAAAATAACAAGCATGGATACAGGCAGACCGAAGCAACACAAGGTAACATGAACATGGACCAACAAAGACAGACTGAACAGAGGCAAACTAAATACACGCATGAATCAAACATAACAGGGTGAAGACAGGTGATATAGATGAACAAGATGATGAACCGGTGGCTGATTGAGGGAATGAGTTCAGGTGTGCAGACAAGAGGATCCTGGGAAGTGTAGTGCAGGTGACGAAGACAGACTGGTGCAGACGAGAGCTTTGTCCCAAAGTGAAGGCTGCGTCCTTCGAAGTCCGTATTTGAAGGCCGATTGGCCTTGTTTGAAGGCCGATTGCGTCACAGTGGCGCGACGAAGACTGTCCCAATTCAAACACTGCACCCTTCGGAGGCCGCATTCGAAAGCAGATTGCGTCACAGCAGTGCTAAGAAGACTGTCCCAATTCAAACTCTGCACGCTTGGAAGGCCAATTGCGTCACCGCGGCCGCTTTGGTATGTCATTCAAATGCGACCCCAAATGCGCACTTTGTTTCTCCGACAAACGAAGTGTACAAAAATGGACACTTCGCGGCCTACGCTTCCCCAGAATTCACAGCGTGCCGGTAACGAGCAGGTGACGAGGTGCAAATGGCAGGTGTCGAGGAATTCAGTTATAAATGTAAGTATTGTGAATTCATTTATTAAAATAGCTAGCGATAAATATAAGGCATATGGACCATGCCCTGAACCCCTATAGTTAAATGAAGCAAATACTAAATTATAAAATGCCGTTCTTGCTTAGTTTTTTGGTCTTGTTTCTAGTATAAATTTAATACAAAAAAATATCTGCCAAAGGGTGTAAGTAAAATAATCGTTTCATTTAAGATTATTTAGCTTAACCCATTAGCAAATTATGGTTTTGTTAAAAGCAAAAATTCACCTAATTTTAAGTTATTTTTCCCCAAAACAAGAAATGTTTTATTTGTCTAGTAGGCTAAATGCTTCTTGATTTTAAGAAGTTTTAGATGTTTGAACTAGAAACAAGACAAAATATTTAAATTTTGCAGTGAAGTTCAAGTAGGAGGGTATATTCAACTAAATAAAACCGCAGCACAAATCCAGCTGAAATGTGGTAGATAAACATTCCTGTGAACATA